AAAAAAAAAAGAGACAAAAAAAAAAAGGCAAAAAGAGAAGAGAAGTGTCCTCTGACCTGAATGCTAGTCCTTGGGCAATTTTGAAAATATAAAGTAACAGAGTGTGCCGCTATTGTTGATGAAAGTAAGTCTCGGTTTTTGTTGATGATGATAATGTTGCTGAATGAAATTTGAGGAGACATGCAAATGCAATAAATTGAAATACATATGACAAGAAAAGCAAATACAGTTTCAAGTCTTTTTCACACAGAGTTTCAAAGACAACATTACACAGATAATAAAGAAACAAACATTTCCAGTTTTCCACTTAAAATTGGACATATTTAAACACACAACACACACAGCAAAAGAAAAACAAAGATTATATTACATTGAAAACCCAATAGCAGTGGCAACTAGTGCATATGTGATTTCCTCCAACTTTCTTGTGGTTACCGAGTCGAATCCCAATTGCTGCCAATGGGGGAGAAAAGAATAGATGAGAGAAAGAGAGATTTATTAAGAATGGAAAACTCATACTGAATTGAATCAAAAATGGAAAATTGAAGATTAAAAGGCTTACATTTGCGGTGCACCCTACCGCCAAAATTTACAGAAGGGGAAAAGGATGTCTTTTGCATTAGGATGGTCCCATTCCAATGATTCCCACCATTCTTTTGGGAATACCACAATTTCTTTGAGGGAAGGAGGATGGGATGATTGGGCATTATCAAGCAAGGGAAAATTCAGAGGAATCCTCTTTAGGTTCTTACAGTCGAAAATCGTCAAGCTCCGGATGGAATCACAAATCAACACGCTGGAGCTGCTGCAGATGCTCTTCAATAAGGGCAATTTTGTCAATTCCAACCTTTCTAACTCGGGTAGAGTGACTTTTTCTTCTTCATGTGCCGATGACGATATCAGCTCCTCCATTTGCGAACACCATTTAACCTCAATAGTCTTTAGGGTTTGGAAGTAGTGGAGCAGTCATCTAGATGAGAATACCTTCTTTAATTGATCACATTTTTCAACCCTAATTTCTTTAAGAGAGAAAAAGCTTGTGGGAGGTACACGTGGCGATAAACCAAAACCTTCTTCATCAAACACGGATTTCAAATTATCTAACTCATAAAGGACTAGATATTCAAGATTTGGAAAGGGATTGGACCCAAAAACACTCTCTATATTTTCACAATAAGAAATTGCAATCTTCTTAATGGAATCACAAATCAAAGAACCGCTATAGATGGTCTTCAATTCAGGCAATGCTTCCAATTTCAACCTTTCTAAGTTGGGTAGAGTGACTTTTTCTCCTTCTTTAGATTCAGACCCTATTATCTCCTCCAGTTGGTGACAATGATGAACCTGAACAGTCTGTAGTTTCTGGAGATATCCCAGCCACCTAACCGAGAATAACTTCTTTATTTTATTACATCCCCAAACTCTAATATCTTGAAGGGAGGAAAATCTGCCAGCTGGTAACGATGCTGACTCAGCAATTGCTCCTACTTCCCCAAACACCATATTCAAGTTATACAAAGAACCAAGTTCCAGCTTCTCAAGGTTTTGAAGCTTCCCCCAAATTCCAATCGTCTCCAATTTAAATTTTGTTTCGGCATAAAGACTGATAATTATTAGTAAATGCTAAAGTTTGGAGAGATTTTGTAGCGGTTCATCAAGTGTTTCAGATAATCTTCCACCAAGACCAAGATATTTTAGATTTGTTAACATGTTGAGGCCTTGTGGTAGTTCTTCAATTGATGTCCAAGAAAGGTCTAACTTCTTTAACCCTACAAGGTTGGATAATGCTGGTACCTCTCTTAAGGACTGACATCCCCATAGCAATAATGTAGTAAGCTTCTCCAATTTGGAGATAGAACTCGGCAGCCTACATAGCTGACGATTCTTGGAAAGATCAACAATCTTGAGCCCAAGCATACGCTCAAAAAAAGCTTCTGGAATTGTTAAAATATTATTATTGGACAACAGCAAGGTTGTGAGCATAGGACACTTTGGAGACGGCATGCTTGAAGGAATTTCTGTTATGCGATTCCTCATTAAAGAAACCTTCAAAAGATTTTCTCTCCATTCATGCTCCTCTGGTAACTTTCGCAAGGCTATGCCAGCTTTCACCAAGAATTGAGGACTGATTTCCAGTGCCATTTCTCGGAGAAGATCATGCATACTCACACATTCTTCTTCGTCTTCTTTTTTAACCGATTGCAACAAGCAGTTGTTAACTAACTTATCGAGTATATCATGACCCTTCCAATACATTGCCTCCCTAGTTTTCCCTTCTTTATATATAAGCCCCTCCTCAATCCAATACTCAATTAACTCTTCCTTGTAGATTTCAGCATCTTCAGGATACAATGCACAGTATAGGAAACACTCTTGGCATTGTGGTTCTAGGCATTCATAACTGAATTTCAAACAATCAATAATGCTTTCAAATTTACTAAATTCAGAAAGTGCCAACTTCCAATGACGAGGAAGTAATTTCCCTTTCATTGATTTTGCCACTATCACAATAGCAAGGGGTACTCCATCACATTTCTGCAAAATTTGCTTCAAAAATGGCTTTATATCTCTTTTAATTTTGCCATCTGAAAACACATCACTTCCAATTTCCTCCGAGAATAATTCTAATGCTTTTTCAGGTGGAAAAGGGTTCACATGGATCACATTACAATCCATTGCACGAGCAACATCTTTTGACTGTGTTGTGAGCACTAACTTGCAACCATTATTTCCAACTGGATTAGAAATTCCAACATCTTCTAGAGAAAAAGGCTCCCACACATCATCCAGAATTAGCAGGAAGCTGTCCTACCCCAAGCTTTGTGAAATCAATGCAGCAAGCGTGGTTTCATTCTCATGATCTGGCTCTCGTTCTAGTTTCAAGCTACTTGCAATCTTTTTCTGAAATTGGAGAATATCAAACTTCTTTTTTGGCTGGACAGTAATGTTAAAGTCTTTTGACACTGTTACCCAAATAACTTTCTTAAATTTGGATTCATTCAACAGTTGGTTGTGGACATTCTTCATAATTGTTGTCTTGCCCACACCACCCATTCCCGAAATTGCAATTCTTGCAACCTTGTCTCCCTTCAACCATTCCAGAATTTCTTCTTGTATATCATCCCTGCCACTACATTTTTCAACGAGAAGTGGAAATCCTTTGATTGAGTGATCATCTCTGACCAAAATCACACCAGCATTAGTGAATTCTTTTCCTTGCTCAAGTATTTGCCTCGATTCTTCAATTTTTCTCCTGAGGTTGGATGGAGAGGAACATTCCCCTTGGCTGATCAGATCTTCAACCTTTATGCCAATCTGTTGGCCTGCTTTCTCTAGCCACTCTT